GTATTGCCGAGCATGCCGTCATTTGCGATGGCGTTGGACTGTGGGCCCAAAGGGTTTCGATCACGTTGGTTGTATCCCCTTATGTGACTGTCTGGAATGTGGGTCTGACTTGGTGCATCCACGTCTGACCCCACGTGCGCGACGCTGAGTTGGCGACTAACTGCCAGGGCAGGATATGCATTTCCAACATTCCTGTAGACAGCATTCATGTTCATTCGGTGTGGAGATGGCGATGCCTGAACGTCCACCCTTTGTTCAGTAACGTTTGGTGGAGGAGCATTGATGCATTGTTCAGACCAGTCCAAAATATTTTTTCTGGTGAGTTGATCACGGTCCTTGACAGGTATCTGAGTGCCAAACTCACTCCAATTCTCTTCCTTATCCAGGTTGGCTGCTGCCTCGAGCACCTCTGCCTGGGCCATTGCAGCAGCTGCTTCCCTTTTGAGTTGTAGGGTGCTTAACTTAGCATCTAGCTCAATTTTCTTCCATGTGGCAGTAGCCTCTAATATACTCTCTTGCTCTCGTGCGGCAGCAGTTGCTATGCTTGCTTCTTCTTGTATACGAGCCCTTTCAATTAGCATGGCTTCCTCTTCGGCCATGTAGGCAATACGGGCGTTTGCTGCTTCTGCTGCGGCGCGTGCCTGAGCTGCTGCCATACCAGTAGATGATATATGTGAGTGTGCTGAGGCTTTAGATCTTGTGGTGGACCTGGATGAGACAGAGTGCTGAGATCGTGTCTCTCTTAAGCCCTCCACACGGTCCATTGCATCTTGTATCACTGCCTGCACATTATCATCGAGCAGTTCGAGGAAGTGCTCTTGTCTGCGCACTCCCTCAATGCCCTCATCTGTTTTCACCTTCATCAGGAGGGAGATGTATCTATTTGCCAGGAGCTTGTAGCTTGAGCTGCTCACATTCACTCGCTGGATGGCCCGCTGAATTGAGGCCACTGTGTCTGAGGCATTTGAAGCTTCAGATAAATCTGCTTCAACCCGGTTCCATGCCCGTTGTATCCTGGCATCCAGGTCCTGTTTCTCAGCCTCATAGCTTTCCAAGGCCCGTTGCGTCAACCTGACCTCCCTCTGGGGCCTTGAACTCCCTTGGTCCTCTTGAGGCAGGATGGGAGGTCCTGGATTGCTTAAATCATCTTCTTCAGCATCTCTCCCTGCTGAACTGTGGCTGTCCATGCTGTGATGCTTGCAACACGATTTTAATGTAGACTCGTTGCAGAGTTCCTTGCTTGCTGCAGGCTGACTGCTTGAGAGCTGGTTGCTTGCTGCAGGCTGACTGCTTGAGAGCTGGTTGCTTGCTGCAGGCTGACTGCTTGAGAGCTGGTTGCTTGCTGCAGGCTGACTGCTTGAGAGCTGGTTGCTTGCTGCAGGCTGACTGCTTGAGAGCTCTTTTCTTGCTGCAGGCTGACTGCTTGAGAGCTGGCTGCAGGGCTGGTTGGAAGCTTCAAGAAGACTATCTTTTTACTTGGCTGCAGAGAGCTGGCTGCAGCACTGGTTGGGAGCTTCAGGAAGAATATCTTTTTACTATCTCGGCCTCGCTGTGCGCTGCGTTGCACCGCTAGTCGAGTAGACAACCATGTGTTCAATAAACCCTCGAAGCCAGGATGACCGTCCAACTCCGATCGTCATTTATTGATTGTAACAGGTAAAACTGGTGAGAAAACACAGATACAGCATCTGTTATAATTCGGAAACACCCACACAATGAACACCACAGCATCAGAACATTGTCTCAGATAACAATAGATCCTGGAAGGACCAGGCCCCCACGTTACCCCTGAACAACTAGACAAAGGCACAAGCTGGTGCGTTGCATACAGACACAGTGTATTCATCCCACTGCACCCCAAATGTACAGCATTACACTTAACACTAAACTGTGGATGAGATACTTCGTCATCTTTACTCTCAGGATCGCAACATAGGCACAAGTCTGACTCGACCTACTAAATCACAAGTAACATCCACAATAAGGAAAGTCACAGGCTTCGTTACAAACTAGGCCTCGTATTTACTACAACAACTTAACGGCACCATAAAGGCATTTACATTGCTATAACGGTCATTCCAACATTACAACAGCATTTCCAATATTATAGGAATATAAACAACTTACAGATAATGCTTCTTAAGCTCCCACAATGGACAAGTGCGGCTGTGGTCTCACTGAGATGCGATGCGTGCCGCCATCTTAACTTATCTGTGTAATGGCTGACGCCCGCGTGGTACAGTGGAAATCTGACATCGTCACTTCCTGGTCACGTGACCAACATTAGCATCAAAAAACAGGAACTTCCTGTGACCGTACGCTCCATAACTGCCGTGAGGCAAGACAAGGAGTTTAATAGGAGGTTATTTATCCAATGCTGTAAGGTTGGGGTACAATCGGCAAGGTTGAGTGGAGCATGATGGGAAGTTAGAGTGAAATGTCATCAAACATCTTGATAAGTGTAGTCTCGCGAGATGGGCTGAGTGGCAGGTAGACTGCAGGGGGCAAAAACTGGGGGATGAAGTGATGGGATCTTTGATTCTGACAAGTTCGAGGCATTCATGAAGTTTGGAAGTGGTTGATACGTTGATAATGGGGTGGTAGTTTGCAGGGACTTCAGGGTTGGAGCTGGGTTTCTTTAGTTGAGGTGTCACTTGGCATAGTTAAAGTGACAGAGGAAAAATACCGGACTGAAAGGAGGCACGAGTAAGATGAGAAACCATTATTGCAACACACCGGTGTGCTGAAGCAGCAATACATTGGCACGTTTGTTCACGTGGCTACGTCATGAATTGACAGTGTTGGGTGCATTAGGGTTAACGACAAATTTTACTTCAGCTATCTCAAGTTACATGCCCATCTCACTTCTATCGAGGATATACACATTTATGGAGCGCATGGTGCTCACACGCATCGCGCCCACAGTTAAGCCACACTTGCCTGTCGAACAAGCCGGCTTTTGACCTGCCAGAAACTGCTGTGAGCAGGTCCTTTCCCTTACCAGCTACATCAAAGCTGGATTCCAGCGAAAAAAAAAAACGGTACCGCCATGATAGACCTCTCATCCGCCTATGACACTGTCTGGAGACATGAGCTCCTACTCAAGGCAGTGTGCATCATCAAGTGCCATTCAACACTGAATCTGCTAAACCCGATGCTCAGCAACTGAAACTTCTAGGAACACCTTTCCAGTAACACAAACCATACAAAAAATGGCAACGACAACTTACCTCAAGAATCGGTACTCCGATCTTGTTTAACATTTTCACCAGCGACTTACCAAAGACATCATCCCGCAAATTTGTCTATGCGGAACGACATAGAAATGGCTACTCAGGAAACAAACCTGAAGTCTATTAGTGACAGACTGACAGAAGACTTGTCTGTATTAGAAGACCACTTCCGAAGGTCGAGATTACGGCTGAATCCATCCAAAACGACTGTCTCAATCCACAATCTCAATAATTGTAATATAAATGCTGTCAAAAATAATATAATATTTTGCGACATAGAATTGTAATGTATTACTTACTGTTAGTAGCTCAGCTTATTGGTGAGTATATTTAGTATACTGATGATACTATGTAACTTATACTTTAGTTGTTTACGTGGTGGTTTAATTACTGCAGCTACATACTATTAACATTCCTTCCCTTTATTAATGTTACCCCTATCCCCTCCCTTTGATGTTAATCCTGCATAATGCACGGGCATAATGACTTTAAACCCCCCGCCAAACCTCTACGCATTTCACAAGTAGTACTAATCGCATATCTGCATTTCCCATAAATATGCTAAATTCCTCTTGATATGCAAATTCTTTTGTCAAGGCGCTCTTCGCCCCTCCATCCCAGCTTAAATAGTCGCCCCAAGCCTGGAGTGTGTTATTCAGACTCTGTCTTCTCGACAGACCTGTTCTCCACCTGAGGACGGCTGCTTACGATGTGGCCGAAACGTAGTGAGAATTATTTTATAAAGTTTTATTTTTATTATTTTATTATTTCCATTCTACGTGACTTTACCGAAAGAACCAAGAAGATGAATCCCTGCAGTCACGAAAGCTTTAAATAGAAATCGACCACCATATCGCAAACAAATGAATCCTACTCCCACTCTCCGGTGGACTGAGCAGTCGCGCTACTCCCGAAGCTATCGCATGGCTCACAGACTTAAACGTGGACTGTGAATTAAACATACTTCCCATATGCTAGAAGAAGATCCAAAAATCAAGTATGGTACATATTTGTGTTTGATTGGAGACTGATGCATTAGAGAGCAATCTCAAACCATTTAACAATTGTTGTTTTGCTGGTAGTTACAACCATAATTGCCACAATTATGGCAACTGCTGATGATGCTGAAGAAGGATCTGACCCAAACATCAATTATGAATCACATTTAGTCATGAAAACCTACGAGTTAAATTTACAATGAAGGCTTCCTTAATGGGCTACCTTGTTTGCTAATTTAAGTTACATGGCTTCATTGCTTTGTCATTATTCTGCCTTGCCATGGATTGAGGGATTTTTGTATGCAATTCTATTTAGTACGTCCTCCAAAGGGTGCTGGGTGAAATAATGCATTGCAAAATTGAGTGAGGTAGTGGCAGATTTGGCAGGCTTTCATTGAATTGGCCATGGCTGCTGATAAACGATTTAAACTAAACAGTATTTGATATTTTACCAGGTCAGGCCCACTGAGCTGTATAGCTCTTTTTCAGAAGTGACCTGGCCACAAATGATAGCTCAACCAAGTTGCCTATCATGTGAAAATTTATAGCAGCTAAATACTTTAAATGCATATTTCTAAATGTGTAGGGAAAAACCGGAGGACCCAGAGCAAAATCCACATGACCACGGGGAGAACATACAACTTCCAAATATACAGCCATCAGAGTAGGGATTGACCCAACGACCTCCTGCATACCAGGCAAGGTAGTTAACATCTTGCCACCGTGACAGCTCCTCCAGTGTGGTAGTGTAAAGTGTGAAGCGTCTTACTTTGTACCGGTCTCCCTGCACCGTGGTGACCTGCACGCCCTCGTCCGTCTGGACGATACTGGCCACTACGTGCTTCAGCTTCAGGATGTCCCTGCTCACGCGATCTGCCAAACGCTCGCTCACGGTCTGCGCACCCAGCACAAACTTCCTCTCCTGTGCGCAGACAGTCATAACATCCGCGTGTCATTCGTCATCGCATATGTCATAGGGTGGCAGGGTAGTTCAGTCGGAATCTCATGCCAGCAAGGAGAACATGGGCTCGATTTCTCACTCTGTGGAGTTTGAATATTCAACCCCTGTTCTGCATTTCCTCTGTGTTGCCCGATTGGTATTGGCCAAACATAACAATGTAGAAACATTTTCTACAAAATACTCGTTTGGGATTACACGTAGCAGTATCACCCCCAACTGTGAAAACTTGGCAGGACCACCCTGAAAAAGAGCCTTGAGACTCGGTGATGATTTCCTGGGTAAGCTAGCGTAATATGTGGAAGAATAAATTTTCTGCAAAGAACAAGAGACAGTGATTCCATTAAAGCACTTGCGATGAGGTTAGATGGTATAAACGGCTTTGACAATAATTACGTCTTGATCTTTGATTGATTGATCTTGATAGCTGCAGGTAATATGCAGCGATTGAAAAAAATGTCTAAAGGTATAATCGTACATTTCTTTTCATTGTCAAATTCAGCTTTCCAAAAACATCCTGCTCTTGTTACCCTTTTTTCATAAATTTGATTCCAAACTGCTTTCAGGAATTTCTCTCGACTCACTTATTTAGTGATATTGTCCAGTTATGTCCATGAAACAATAATTTTATTTCGTTGAGTGACATTGTTGTACGTGAATTTTATTTTGCTCCGATTTACCCTGAATTTGCTGCCTTCTTTATTAAACATGTAGTTGGTCAATAATTACAGTAGAGTCGCCTTTTGAGGCAACACGTATTTTTATTAACAAATAATCCCTAACACAAAGGGGTAACGGCCCCTTACACCCGATACGCCTCTCACTGGCTATTCTAACCCTTCTTGAGTGAAGCTTGGTCTTCAATGGTGTATAAGCTGGAGCCGACCCTTACCAAGGGTACGGCTCTGCACGTGGGCACTTCTCTTCAGTCTTCACTGGTATAGCTTAGAGCCGACCCTTGCCAGGGGTACGGCTCTGTCCATTGGGCTCTTCTCTTCAGGAGGCTCTTGATCTTCAGGTGAACGACGACTCCTTGACCGTTCAGAGGTCCGGCATTTATACAAGTCTGTGGCTTGCTCCGCCCCAGCCACGCCTTCCTTCCAGAACCTTCCACCAGGTCCTGGGAGGGTGACGTCATCCCCCCCCCCTCCCGGGGTCTGGGGTCTGCATCTCAGGATCCTTATCCCATAGGGGTTACCGTTGGCCCCTTGGGCCATAGTCCCTTGACACTGGGCTCAGTCACACTACCGCCCCCTATTGGCACGTGTGGGATACTACCGGCTGACAGCATGCGGAGTGCATAATAATACCTCTGTAATAAAGGACTCTTAGGCGATGTTGGTCTCCGTCTGTCCTTTATTGAGTTCTTGTCTCGCACCCCGCAATGTCCCCGGTCGGACCCGCACCTCTTCCGTCGCGTGCCCTCCACACGCCGTTCGAGTCCTCCGCTCTCTCTCTGCAGCCACATCGCTGCCTGTGTGCCCCGCACACTCTGCAGCCACCCCGCTGCTCCGTGTAACTCCGCACACTCTGCAGCCACTCCGCTGCTCTGTGTGCCCCGCACACTCTGCAGCCACTCTCCTGCTCCGTGTGCTCCCGCACACTCTGCAGCCACTCCGCTGCTCCACGTACACCGCTGGACGACGGTGCCGTGACTCCGACCACGTGGCAATTCGTGCCACCCCTCGCCAGCACCCCGCGTGGCTTCTTCTATCTTTACTCTCTCTCGACTCCCGATCCCCTTCCGATTCTCACCCTATATCCTTCTCCTCACGTGACCCTGACTCCTCCTCCTCCTCCTCACGTGACCCTGACTCCGCCCCCACTTACCCCGACGACCAGGCTCCACCTCCCCTAATACTCCGGCCCGCGTGAGTGGTGCGGAGGCAGCGCCCACCCTGTCCTTGCTCGCATTACATGACCCCCCCCCCTAATGAAAAACCCAGCCGTCCCCGGCTGCAACAGAACAAAATAATGCGAGCAACAATACAGCAATCAGCATCACAAGACAAACGGAGATTATAACAATAACAACAACAATAACAATTAACGAAAGGAAAGGGACTTGGAATGCGTGCGGGTCGCCGGCCTGTCCCGAACGGGGGGCGGCCCCCGCACAGACCGCGACCGCGACAGGGTTTTAGGAGCGGCGGGATCGGAACCACCCACCGCTGTTGGAGGCCTGTCAATTCTAAAGTCCCGTTCCCCAGAGAGACCCGTCGCCGGGGTCTCCTGCAAATGCGTCCGTGGCGGGGTTGTAAGGGCAGCGGGGTCAAGTGTCCCCGTCGCCGTGGTAGGCCCACCCGGAGCAGGAATCACTGTATCCGTCTGTGTCGCGACCGGTCTGTCTGTAGAAGGCACGACAGGCGCGCTTGCAGGTTGAACAGGCAAAGTCAGTGGCGCGTCGGATGCAACAGACACCGGCAAGGCAACATTAGGAGATGACGCATCCGTCCGTGGGGCCACGTAGGGTTTCAATCGAGACGTATGGACGTACCAGCGCCGCGATCCGAAACGAACACGTGCGGACTGCGGACTAGGAACCTCAATGAGCACAACCGGCCCCTGCCATGGTTTGTGCAACTTAGCGGAGGTCCCCACCCGCACCTGCGGGCAGTGCAGCCAGGCCATGCCCCCCCCTCGCCAGGGGGATTCCCCATCCGAGCGCCGAGCGCAACGTTCGTTCCCGGCCTGGGTGTTGGCCGTAGCCAGTCGGGCCCCCTTCCGTGCCTCTGCCACGCGACGAACAGCATCCTGAATGTACTCCAGGAGAGGCTTAACAGGACCCCTCGCCCCCGTACCCAGCTGCACGTCCACCGGCGGCACATTCTCGCGGCCGTACATTACAAAAAAGGGTGAGTACCCCGTCGATGCATGAGGCGTCATCCTGTATGCAGAGAGCACCCCAGGAATATGAAAATCCCAATCAGCCTGCTTTTCGCTAACCGTGTGACAGAGCATGGCCGACAGAGTCCGATTAAACCGTTCCACCATCCCATCCGTTTGCGGGTGGTAGGGAGACGTCCGAACCTTCTTGGTCCCCAGTGCAGCACACACCTCAGCCAATAATTTAGAAGAAAAATTTCGCCCTTGGTCTGTGAGCAACCTTTCCGGCGCCCCTTTGTCCATTACGTATCCGAACACGAACGCGTCCGTGATAGACGCCGCCGACTGGTCGGGTAAGGGCCAAGCCATCGCCCAGCGGGAAAGATATTCCACCCCGACCAGCAAAAATGTATTCCCCCGAGTGGACGGCGGGAAGGGCCACAAAATATCCAACGCCACCAACTCGTTAATCCGAGACACCTGTATGGACTGCACTGGCGGCACATATGGGTGTTTAGGCGGCTTCCGCCGGGCACAGTTGGGACACGCCCGAATGTGCCCGACGACATCAGTCGTCATGCCGTGCCAGAAGTAGTCCCCCGCTGCAACGTCAACAAGGTTTTCTGCACCCCGAGATGCAACAACGTCTCGGAGTGCAGAGTCCGAACCAACTCGTACCGTAATGACGACGGCACCACCAGACGCCAGCGATCGTGCAACCCTTCCCTCCACATTAGCAACCCATCCCGAAGAGCAGCTCCCGGTGTCCCACCGGACAGCGGTCCCCCTGTCCCCTTCGCAGCCCGACCCCGCAAGGCCCCCAGCGACTCATCGAGCAATTGCTCGCGAATCCATACCAAACGCAGCAGGTTCAAAACCCCATCAGCCGGTCCCGGGCATACGGGAGCCTCGGGCACTTCGACAGCGGACACAACAGGCCGAGGGGGTTGCGGAATCTGCGTACACCTATTCGTGCCCGAAGCGCAAGCGCAAGGGGACCCCTGCGGCAATCTGGAGAGTGCATTCGCGTGACGTGACCCCTTCCGATACTGAATTTCTAACGAAAATTCCTGCAGGGTTTCCAACCATCGAGCCAATTGGCCAGACGGTTGGTCAACTCTCAGGGCATGGTCCGTGCGCACAATAAACGTACGGCCGTACAAATACGGCCGATATTGGCGAAGAAAATGTACAATAGCCAAAAGTTCGCGGCGAGTAACGCAGTAACGTGTCTCCACTGTAGACAACACGCGGCTACCGTAAGCTACCATCCGTTCGACGCTGTCCCTAGACTGGGACAGAACAGCCCCAATCCCGGTGTCACTAGCGTCAGTATCCAGAATAAAAGGTCGAGTGAAATCTGGATAGTCCAATGTCAGTGCCAACACCAAACGATCGCGCAGGCCTTGAAACGCTGCCTCTTCTGTCGGTCCCCAGCTGAATCTGCGGCCTTTAGCTGTAAGGTGGTGCAACGGCCTAGCGATCGTGGCAAAGTTGGGAACGAACCTGCGGTAATATGAAGCGAACCCAACGAACCGACGCATGTCCCCCACTGAGGCCGGAGTCGGCCAGTTACGGATGCACGCCGTCTTCTCCGGGTCCGTGGCGACCCCTTCCGAACTGACAATGTGGCCCAAATAGCGCACGGATCGTTGCAACAGGTGACACTTTTTTGGCTTAAATTTCAAATTGGCGGAACGCATTCTGGCAAACACCACGTCCAACCTCCGCAGATGTTCCTCAAACGTGCGGCTGAAGACGATAACATCGTCTAAGTATATCAAGCACGTCTCCCACTGCAGAAACGTTAATACGAGCTCCATCAACCGCTGGAATGTCGCGGGGGCGGCGTTCAAGCCCATGGGAAGACAATTAAACTAAAACAATCCCTGCGGCGTTCGGAAAGCCGTCTTTTCCCTCGAGGATTCGTCCAGGGGAAGTTGCCAGAATCCCAATGAGAGATCAAGAGTAGGAAAAAAATTCGCCCCAGACAAGGCATCGAGGGAATCATCCATACGCGGCAGGGGGTATGCGTCCGCAACCAACACCTTATTTAATTTGCGAAAATCAACACAAAACCGCAACTTCCCATCCTTTTTTTTCACAAGGACCACCGGCGCGCTCCACGGACTGTTGGACGGGGAAATCATGTCAGCGGCCAGCATCTTCTCGACTGCGCCACGAATGTGATCCCGCTCCGGCGGACTCAACCGATGCGGGTTCATCCGAATCGGAGCGGCATCACCCGTATCAATGTGGTGGGAAAGCAAGGAGGTGCGACCCAAATCGAAATCGTCCGCACTAAAGACGTCGGAATACCTCCCCAACAGCGCGCGAAGCGCGGACCGCTGGTCCCCAGTCAAAGACGCATTTTCCCGGCACAACTCAGCAATCCATCGATCGTCCTGTGACGTGGAGGCCGATACCCCCCCTACAAGTCCCCGGCGGCCCTGATCGTCATGGCTCGTGAAAGCAGTCGTAGTGTGAGCCAAAACCGTTCCGGCCGGTACAACAACATTATCCGTGCTTCCATTCAACACTTGTAAAAACGGAGGTTGACCCGGTCGGACAATCGTCTGTGCCCCGACCAGCGTCAAGCCACCCGTTATAGCAGCGGATGGTGATAACAAAACACCCGCCGCACCCTCGATTCCAGGCACCGGTTTGCGATACCGCAGCAGAATAAGCATCTGCGAGCCAGGCGGAATATCCACCGATACCTCGGACAGCGCCTGCACCTGACGGTCAGGAGCTGACTGGCCCCAGGGTGACGGCAGGAATGAAATTTGCCGACCCCCCTGCAATTTGATACAATTGTGATCCACCCTTATTTGAATGGGCATCTTGGCCAAGAAATCGGTCCCCAACAAACAGGGCACCGCGAGGGACCTGGAAATCAACACGGTCCCTGAAGCCGAAACACCCCCAACCGATATACTGGCGTCCACCTGACCCACAATACCCATACTACCCCCGTTCACCGCTATGCAAGAGTCGTAAACCGGCCGCACCCGCCCCAGCGGAATGGACAAGAGATGGAATATCACGTCGGAGATAATAGTCGCGGATGCACCTGAGTCCACCAAAATGCGTACGTCGAGCCCTTGGATAGAACCCGGCACGGTCGACGACTCAGTTGCGGCCGCAACCACCTGTCGCGCCAATTTCCGCCACTGCATCAGAGAGCGACGCGGATCACTAAGCGCCCCCCCGTTAGTAATGGCACCCGGCCCGCATGGCGATGGTGATGCATGAGATGACAGGCCTTGCCGGGTGTCTGATGCGTACCGACTTGCCTGTCATGGGTGGTCCTGCCGCGTCGCGTCCGTGACCGAGGCCTCCTGCTGGGGCGGGGGCCGAATGCGAGCCTAACATTCTCTGGCGAAGTGGCCCTTACGGCCACAGCGGAAACACGCCAAGTCGGCTCGCCGTGCAGCACCCCCTCTGTCTTGGCGCTCCCGCACCGGCGGCCCGGAGCGCAACCCCGCTCCCCCTCGAGCAGGCTACTAGGTCGATGCCGCCGTCAGCTCCTCAGGACCCTTCTCGTCATGAACGTAGATGGCCTTCTTCGGGTCCCACCCTGTTGCACCGCCCTCGACGGTGGGGCTCCCCATCCAAGCCGTCACCTGTTTCCAACGGCGAAGGTTGAATTGGGCATCCAGGCACTTAGCCGCCATTCGGGACGTTAACTTATCGTGGCCGCACACCGGCATGGGGATGCCCAAATCCCTGGATAATTCCAACATTTTACCCAGTATCAGGGGTTCCAACAAGTCAGGCTCCGTCTCCGGATACGCGGCCATAGCTAGTTCCATCACAGTGCCCCGGAATGCCACTGGCGATTCTTCAGGTGCCCGTTGCTGCTGCACAAACCTGCGATGTGCATAGTCCGGACGCTCATACGCCTCCGCCATTTCTTCAAACACCCCCTGTAGCGTCGTCTTCTTTGCGACCTTGATGGAACGGAAAAACCTGACGGACTCATCATCAAGAAGCGTTGGCAAGACCTCCAGGGCTTCAGCATCCGTCCATTTTCCTGATCGTACCGCCGCTTAAAAACGGCAGGCGAACGCGCTCTAATCTCCGCCAATGGAGAACTCTTTAACAGTCGTTAGACGATGGCTGCGGGTCCCCATGCCGCCGTCATCCGCCGATGGTGATACTTGCGGCAGCGACAAGATGGCGTCACTCTGCAACGTGTTCAAAATGGCGGCTCCCCGTCGTTCGTCCCCGACCACGCCCAAGATGGCGGCTTCCCGCGGTGGAGGCAGCAAAATGGCGGCTTCCGCCATTCCTCCCCGACCACGCCCATGATGGCGGCTTCGTGCCGCGTGTTGGAGAGGGCTGTAAGCGTCGGCAAGGCCCCACTCGGATGCTCCCCGCTTGGCCTCCCCGGACTCGTCGTGGGCGTCACCAGGGCGCATAACTGCGTTAAAACAGCCTTCAGCGACTTAAGTTGGGCCGCCACGTGTCGCCATCCCTCCTCGGCACCCACCAACGCAGACGGTCCTGCTGAGCCGGCAACATCTTGCACTCTCGATGCGTCGCCCCCGCCTTCCATCATTGGTAGCACAACTGCCGGAGAAAGATCGTCGTCGTCTTCAGAAGATGGTGCAGAAGATGGTGCAGGTATATTCTTTCTTCTGAGCTGTTTTGACATGCCGTCTCACTTCTGACTCCAATGTAATAAAGGACTCTTAGGCGATGTTGGTCTCCGTCTGTCCTTTATTGGGTTCTTGTCTCGCACCCCGCGATGTCCCTGGTCGGACCCGCACCTCTTCCGTCGCGTGCCCTCCGCACGCCGTTCGAGTCCTCCTACTCTCTCTCTGCAGCCACACCGCTGCCCGTGTGCCCCGCACACTCTGCAGCCACCCCGCTGCTCCGTGTAACTCCGCACACTCTGCAGCCACTCCGCTGCTCCGTGTGCCCCGCACACTCTGCAGCCACTCTGCTGCTCCGTGTGCTCCCGCACACTCTGCAGCCACTCTGCTGCTCCGTGTGCTCCCGCACACTCTGCAGCCACTCCACTGCTCCACGTACACCGCTGGCCGACGGTGCCGTGACTCCGACCACGTGGCAATTCGTGCCACCCCTCGCCAGCACCCCGCGTGGCTTCTTCTATCTTTACTCTCTCTCGACTCCCGATCCCCTTCCGGTTCTCACCGTATATCCTCCTCCTCACGTGACCCCCACTCACCCCGACGACCAGGCTCCACCTCCCCTAATACTCCAGCCCGCGTGAGTGGTGCGGAGGCCTTGCTCGCATTAAACCTCTACAAATGTATTCCTAAATGTTGTATGTGTAGCCAGTCCAACTGAGTAGCAGACGTTATTCTTTAGAGGCAACACATTTATGATATCAACACGTAATACACAAAGGGGTAACTGCCCCTTTACCAGATACAGCCTAGGGTGGTGACCACCCAGCTAACTACACTATATGGAGGAGTTACAGCTACGAAGGGTCAGACCCTCACTCGGGTCTCGGCCACGTGTTGATACCTTGTAGGACGTAGAGCTTCCAGCTTGTAAGACATGGAGCTTCCAGCTTGTAGAACGAAGCGACCCCGGTCCCTCTCAGGGACCCACCTTATATCCTCCCGAGTCGGGGCTGGCTCCGCCCAGGCCCCGCCCGCCTTCTCGAGCGTTCTAGCTCCCTCTCGATTCCTCTTGAGAGCTCTCCCCGGACACATGATAATCCCCTAGCCCCCCCCACCTGGGGCCCTCTCTGTGCACACTCCGGATCACGTGTCTACGGGGTCAACTCGAGTGCCATGGCCCAGGGCAACCCTGTCCCTGGGCTGACACTCTCCCACTCCCCCTTGTGGGAGCCCGCACTACACACTATGCACGATGCCCTTCACTATCCCAGCGCTCACCAAGCCCCGCTAGGGCTGGTACTACACCCATCTACGGGGTGTACGCGATGACGGTGCATCGCATGCCGTGCTATAGTAAAGCCGGCATCACACAGCAACCCACCCAGTGCTGTCCGCAACGTAGGAACATCGCACGCCACAACCCTCCCAGGCCGGCACCATACAGTGACATCCCTGATGTCACTACATATGTAATGGGTGCATGTGAGCCCTGCAGCCAAACGTTATTAGATTCACCATAAAGTTAATTAATCGACTCTTGAATTTAATCTCCATCGTGACAATTCATGCTGGACAGCTGTGAAACTCATGGGATTCCTCCAGTCTAAATAAATATTCTGATTCTGAAATAATTTAAAGGCCTTGGAGTTAAACACTTTTCATCTCTAAATGTGGGAGGAGGGCGGTGGCTAGGAGGACCTGGGCTCCATTTGAGACGTTGGCGACTCGCTCCACGCCACCGCCGGAGTGGATGTACCACATCACACCAAGCGCTGACAGCTCGTGTGGTTCCGCAGCAAACACGTTCCGCACCAAAATCTCCATCAAGCTCACCGTGGTGCTGGGGAGCATGACAAGCATTGAGAAAACACCACAAAGTCAGTGATTTCCTACTCAAATGAGTACGAGGTGGTCCTCATCCCCTGATTGTAGCCCTGGTGGGGCTGAGTCTCTCCATAGGACAACCACTGTTAACTTGCCCAGTTAACAAAGCTAACAGGTTTTTAACTCGCAACCTTCTGAATCATATCTTTATTTAGACTGTAGAAATCCGATGAGCTATGAAGCTCTTTTTAACAGATGTCCACGAGGGGCAAGTCAGCATGTTACAACAAGAAACAATCAAAACGATAGGAGTGCAAAGTAGAGAAAAGGTAAATAAGTCACAAAAAAGGTATACAAGCACAAATTGCAATTCGCTTGTTCTAGCACTGAGGAACTACCTGGCCAATTATAATTGATAATGAAGTAACTTACTCTTTGGTTCTTTCGGTAAAGTCACGTAGGTATAAAAATAATAGATCACGACGTTTCGATCGCAACACAAGCAATCGTCATCAGGTGGGACAACCACAGCAAGAAAAAAACTGTTTCAAATCAAGAATGAAGTAACAGTTTTACAAACTACCCAAGTGGGGTCACGAAGTGACAGAGTGGCTTAGGGGGCCACAGAGCACTGAGATGGCAACGCCAAGAATCTGGGTTTTAATCCGGGCAACTACCAATGGTTAGATTCTGGTCAAGCCAAGCAAGAGATCCTCTGATAGTGCAGTCCCATTGCCAATGACTGCACAACAAAACCACATTAAATTCATGTTTCCACTTAACATTGGTAAACTCCAGCTCTGAATATAAAAAATATCGGTTGCACAGTCATGTATTGAAAATGCAATGTATCCAGATGCCATGTCGAAGCAACTTTTGATATCTTTAATTTTAATACAATGACTTTATGCATAATACATTATATATACATTTTAAGGGTCATATGCCAATTTAAGACTAATCATCTGACAACATTGGGCCTTAAGGTGTACGATGGTGTATCCAACTTAACACGTATGCTTTCGCGACCAATATCATCCATAATAGAGGTTTTTTTGGTTATATCTAACCCAAAAAACCTCCATTATGGGTGTATCCAACTCTTATCCAGTCCGTCTCTCTGGCCTGTTCTTTATACTATCAGGAAGGACCATTGCCAAACACGTTGCCTGTTATATATTATTTTCCTTTTCAAAGTATTTCCTGTGGGTTCTCCTGAGAGGGACCGGGGTCGCTTTGTTCTACAAGCTGGAAGCTCCACGTCCTACAAGGCATCAACACGTGGCCGGGATCCGAGTGGGGTCCGACCCTTCGTAGCTGTAATGGTGACACAGCGGTAAAACTTGTGGCTCACAGCAAGAAGGCCCTGGGTTCCATTCCTGATTCGTGCGCCTTTCTGTGTGGAGATTGTATGTTCTCGACCTGTTCTGCAAAGGATTTTCTCTGGGTACTCCAGTTTCTTCCCATTGCTAAAATGCCATACAATGTAAGGAATTTGCCAAATAATCCAATGATGAAAAACTACCTGCAAATAATTTGGGAAGAGACATAACACATCGCCCTGATTGCGAACATCTGGTAGAACCCTTATGAAGAAGAGTCTTGAGACTCAGTGAGGCTTTCATGGGTAATCAAGCATCGGGATATGAAAGCAGACAATTGGGTGTAGTGCCACAGTGCGAGGTGGGGATTGTGTATGTTGTATGGCCATGCCGTGTGTGGTTATGGTGCGCGTGCTGTGGGCACGTGTACCGGGTCCAGGCGAGGCTGCGCAAAAACTCTCGTGCCGTCATCCTGTCGAGGGCGTGGGCACGCGGGTGGGTCCATGGTGCCCTGAGTGGAACCTCGCGAGCCAAGCGGTCGATGGCGCGCATCACACGGTGCAGGTCCAACAGCACCACAGGATTGTATGTCGGGGGGATGGTGCCCGTGAACCTTCGGATTTTACCCTAGTGACAAACAAGACATGGCCGCACCAATAGCACTCTGAAGAAAGCCTCACCGAGTCTCAAGACTTTTTTAGGGGGTCCTGCTCAGCATTTGCAGTCAGAGGTGATGACCGCTATGTGTTTTCCAATTAAGTAATTTATGGTGCAATTTTACAAGGTTGGAAAATATGGACCATGATGTTGGCACAGAATATCCTACTATTCCTCGAATTATGCCACAGGATCTATAATGTCCAATGTTACACTAAGTTTATGTGTATGTTCAACTTATTTTGCACTAACTAGCTGGCAGGTGTAAATGCTGTTTCCACAAGTTACAAATTTATTTATTATTTTCCTTTTCAAAAAGGTGGGAACTCAAAGAGACCAGGATACTCTCATATTTAAAAATGACCTGCATCACTAAAATGACAACAGCAATAACATCAAATAAAGTAAATATAAATTCTAGGTAAAAACAACCATATAATAGAAGAAATCTAAAATATTGCATAAATAAAATCAATATTAAATAAAATAAGATGCATTTCCTTTCATGAAAGTTGGCTCGAGAAAAAATATTTTCAAAACTGTTCATTGGAAAAAGTAAAAATATATAGCAGAAACATTAAAATGGATTTAGGATGATTATTGCACGAATATTTAAACAGACATGGACATTTGTCAAATACTAAGTCAATGCAGAATCTGAAAACATCAGGCCAGAGATCAGATACCCACATGCAGATGTGCCAGGCTGTTGTTGGAGTCATCAACATGGTAGGTAGCAACACCAAGTTCTTCAGCCAGGCCCAGTATGCGGTCTTGGGTAGGTCCCACATAGGCGCCCCCCAGGTCTGTCACGCCAAGATTCTCATCCTGAATTGTCCAGGACAGTTAGGCAGGGAGGTCGCCATCACGCAATATACACACAATACCAGACACCATGTTCAGCATTACAGACTGGAGTGTAATGTGCTATTAGCAAGCACCAACGAAGGCCAACAGTGCACGAGGGGTTGTGGAGTCAGCGCACAGTCCATTATCCTTCCAGGGTCCACATAGCAAGTGCAACCTTGTGGAACATACATTTTGGTTTTCCAATCACTAAACTGGTCCCTGCCATGGCAATGTTGAATTTACACGGTGCTCAGCTGCCAACAAATTTTCACCACACCATAGTTATCTTAGAAGAGGGAAAATATATATATATCTTTTTTCACATTTAGCTTTTGGCTTTGACATTAGCATTCAAGGCAGATCTGAATTGTAAAATTGTTAGAAAGTGGGAGATAATGTGCTTTAGCATTGCCATATTTACAATGTAAAAGCCATGGCAAGTTTGCTTTGCTAATTGCACACACTTCATTATGCCTTCTGTGTTGAGCTTTTGGAATATCAGAACACCAGGACACAAGGTGTCTGTGTTTGTGGCCAAAAGTGTGCTTTCCTGCAACATCGTAGGTTACAGCCACTGCCTCGTCTGAGTCCTCCATCCTCATTACCTGCACAGGATTTAGCACAAAGATGTACGCCATGTTTTACTTCGCATAACTTAATTAGCACGTGAACAGTGCTATTTTTAAATAGTTATTTATTTTATTATCTTGGTAGCCTTTATAGCTCACCCTGAATTCTGTCTTAATCAAGTCCTGCTTTGTGAGGTTTACTGTAATATTAATCATCTTCTGGACAATGGAAATAAATATCATATGCCATTATTCTAGATTTGAAGCTTTCGTGACTGCAAGGATTCATATTCTTAGGTTTTTCGGTAAAGACACGTAGGTAAAAAATAAAAATTAATAAAAGTAAAATAAAATAAAAATCACGACGTTTCGGAGGCAACACAAGCTTCCGTCTTTCAGGTGGAACCGTCACAGCCCGACAGCTGTATCAAGTAAATGAGAGATTACAGGAGATACCACTCCATATATATAATGGTTGAGGGGGGGGCAGGAATGGCCCACTTTTTATTATTATGGTAAGGTGCGGCTTGAGACTATGAATAGACTGCATAACAAAAGACTGAGGCTTTATTATGGAGAGGTTCGGTTTGTGACTACGCCTAGCCTACATAACAAAAGTGTGAAAAAAGAAAGCTAAACCTGGTAGAAAGCTAAACATGGTAAAACAAAACTGTGGGAAGGGGTCCCAAGCAAAAAGGGGAGTGCTAGAAGGGCGAGAGAGGAGGGTAAGTAGACAGTGTAAGACGTCTGCTAGTGGGGGAGCCAGGTAGGAGGAGAAGAGCCAGGTAAAAGGGAGGAGCCCGGGCTAAGCGGATAAAAGGGGAACCTGGACGGAAGGGGAGGGGTCAGAGACAAAGGAGAGTCAGAGAGAGAGAGAGGAGCCAAGTAGCAGATAGAAAGGCTCCTGGGCCGGAGAGACAAAGGAGGCTACGGGTGGAAGTGTACGGGGTAGCCTGGACGAAGGTCGAGGGAGTCGGGAGAAAGGGCTAAGAAACAGGAAGTAGTGAGTACCCGCGACGGAACGAAGAGTGCGGATGTTGGCGTGAATAAACGGCAAGCACCCTGAATATTAAACCCTGGTCTCCGTCTGAGTCTACAATCCCACAGGGCATCACGAAGCACGACTCTACACATGCAGAAGGTAACAAAATACAAAAGGAGGGAAGCCTGGTGGTCAACACTCCCAGCACTAAACAGGCTGAGTGCTGCTTTGCTTCTGAGATTTCATAATCTTAATCATTATTTAGAGTGGAGGAATGAAGCTCTCTTTCACCGATGTCCAGAAGAGGGGGTCAGAAAGTTACAACAAACAATATAAAACAATAAGATTGGAGTGTGTTATACACTGGAGGCAATACTTTTTAGAAACAGAACCCTAACAACTCACGTTCTATAGCTAGGTGTCTTTCTGTTTGCTATGTACGTGCGCGTTAGTGTAGCGAATGGGCCAGTCAGCACACACACTGTCTGACCCACGATATCAGGCTACATTCAACCGACGAACGAGGAATGACGAGCGAAGACGAAAAGACGCAGGACTCCAGGCTGATCCCCATGTAATGTGAGGATATATCCGGCTCAATGACGTATCACAACTCGTCATGATGATTGGCTCCGCCGGTCCTGGTCTATAGCCAATGGGGGGAAGCCTAGGGGCGTGGCCCTGACGTAATGGAAAGGTGACAGCTGTAAGTAGAGGATTGGTTCTGCTGGCTTTGGCCACAGCCAATGGGGAGATGAGTCAGGGGCGTGGTCCCGGGAGCTTACGAGGGAGCCTGGAATATTCCATGGAGGCTAATCAGGATTGGGGGAAACGTACCACGTGACCCGGTTATTAAATAGGGGTGGAGACGAACGACACGTGGTCAGAACGGGAACGAATAGAGGAAGGGGGCCACGCGGGAGCGGGGCTCCGGGTTGCCACGTGGCAGTATGTCTTTCTCTATCTATCCCTCTCACGCTGCCTGCCAGCAGTGTGAAGGAAAGCTGTAATACAAGTTGAATAAAAGACGGATTCCAGAAGTCGCCTCAACGACCTTTATTACACCCACAACAGTCCCCGATCCCTGTCAGGGCTCCCCCTTTATTTCTCTGGGCGTGGGCTTGCCCTGCCCTCTGCCACGGTCCCTGCTATATCAAGTAAAGAACCCCCTGCTCCCAGTCACGTGTCCCTCCATTACCCGGTGCTCAGCAGCACATGTGAAATAGTGGCTGGCGCTAACCATAGAGTGACAACATTTCATATCACTACAAGAGTACAAAAAAGATAAGCAAGTCACAATAAATAAGTAAAGTATGTAAGTGCAAATTGCATAAGTACATAAATTCCTGCCAATTTGTCAACACCAAATTCAAGCTTGGCAAGGCAGCAAAACATGAACAAAAACAGGCCCAGATCACACCAAGACAATGCACAGTCCCTTAATAAAATTGTACATTATAATTTAACTATTGATACTATATAGGTAAGGATCAAAGTTACAAATCGAGATTGAGCACAATCTGGGTGATTTGTTCATTGGTAAAAGTTTGTGAGGAGCGCCAATACCTCGACGGTGTAAGTGCGTCCTCCAACACGATCCCTTGCTTCCAGGAGAAGTACCGATAAGCCATGCGCCACGAGAAGCCGAGCTGCACTCAAGCCTGGTGCAGACACACACAACAACTTCCATTCGCCACTAAGTTGAGGTAATGTCACCAGGGTGCTTGTGTCATACTAGGTGCACTTTGAGGTGCACCTAGTATGGCGGTACGGGAGGATGTGGACCTGAGCGGACTTGCTGATGACTGGTACCAGCGGTGTCAAGCACGGCCGTTATTGAGGAGGCTCGTAAAGGACGCTACTGGGCAGTTGGAGGCAGTCGCTCTCCTGCAACAATGGAGAGCAGAGAGGCGATGCTCACAACAACGAGCAGAGTGCCGGGCGACGAAAATACAGCAAGTTGGTACAGTGGGGGGTTCAGCTGGTGCCTCTACCGGTCATCTCAGTCAGCCAACCTATGGCACCTGGGTCTGTCCCGAGACCTCCTATCAGCGAGGCTTCCGACACTTCACGTAGCCTCAAAGTGCACCAGGCCTGGCACAGGCGTCATGGTGACGTCACCGTCACTGTCACTTCGTGGCAAATGGCGGGTATCGGTATTGGCACTTTGAGGTGACATAAAGTGTCGAAGGCTCGCTGACAGGAGATCATGGAACAGACTCAGGTGCCATGGGTTGACTGACTGAGATGACTGTGGCGCCCCGTAAATAAAAAAAACATATGCATGCTCAAATTACATAATAAATTCCCAAGCTTGGGAAATGCATTAAAACAGAAGCAACAACAGTCCCATACCACACCAAGACAAACATACAGTCCCTCAATAAAATTGTACATTAAAATTGAACTCTCAATGCATTCTCTTTGGTTCTTTCGGTAAAGTCACGTTGGTATAACAATACAAGCGTCCGTCATCCCACTTGATGATGGACGCTTGTGTTGCGCCCGAAACGTCGTGATTTATTTTATTTTATACCTACGTGACTTTACCGAAAGAACCAAAGAGTATGGATTCCTGTAGTCACGAAACCTTCAAATCTCAATGCATTGGTAAGGATTACATTTACAAATCACATTTGTAAATGTGGCTGTATCCAGCACTAATCTTCTGCTTGCTGTCCCATCCCTACTGAACCTCTGTGAAAAAGAGCTTCATTATCTCATCGGATTCCTGCAGAATAAATAAACACATTCCTGCGGAGGGAGCTGGTAGGAACGTTGGGTTGCTCGGTCAATGGCCAGGGTCAACGGCGGCGTGGTGTATTCCGCAAATATGCCCGACTGTGAGGGCGGGCACAAGCCGGCGTAAGTAGGTTAAACGTTGCGTTTTATAAGGGCACCACGGGGTGACCAGCCCCTCCCCACCCAGCCACACCCCTCCCACCCCCCACCCAGCCCCACCCTCCCCACCCAGCCCCACCCTCCCCACCCCACCCTATTCTCCCCACCCAGCCCCTCTCTCCCCACCCAGCCCCTCCCTGCACGACAGACGGACACAATAATCCCCTGTGGGCTGGTGTAACCAGGAGGTTCTTACCAGTAAAATTATAATTCTGAAGTATGGCTATGTAGAGGATTTTGTTAACTTCAGTCGCAGGTATTTATGTTTGCCTTACATTAAAACACAAAGGCTTACCCTCGCAAACGTAACTTGGGGTCTGGAAACATCCCCCCATCCAGCCAGAAAAGACAAGTCATTTTATACAAATTGCTGAAGGCCTATAATGTTAAACTTTGAACCTCACACAATGGCGTGAACTTTAAACTGACGCAGTGGCGAGTGTTCCCTACTTGGCCACACGAAAAGTTGCAGTAAAGCTTGTGAGCCAGTGAACTTGTAACTGGTGTTTTTGTTACATTTAGTGTGCAGTTGAATGCGCTTTAACTCACGCAAATAATCAGAAATCACTTTTTTCAAAGGATCGATACTAATGTGTCACACATCCAGACCACACAGGAATCATCGAACGCAATTATTAACAAAAAATGAGTATTAAGATCGGTAACCCATAAAAGCCTCATCGAGTCAAGAATACAGTATTTTTCAGGAGGGTCCTGCCAAGTTTTCAGTTTGGGGGAGCTGTTGATACCATGACTGCTGTGTAGCTTTTAAGGCACTTATTGTAGGTCCATGGGTGGCCATAGGGTGCTGGACTATGTCACCCTGACTGTACGTCTCTTCACGTAACAATGTTTTAGTCCATCAGTTCAATATCAACCAGAAGCTTTTGTTCATAGTAGCTGGATAGGCTATGATATGAATGCTGAGCACGGTACATAAGGAGATAACCAAATGGTATGGGGCACAAGAGGATATGTGTAACAGGTGTGAGTTAGCTTTGATAAAAAAAGATCGCTGCAGGAGAAAGTGAACATCGCGAGTGAGACACTGTGGGGAGGGGAAGTGGAGATATGCCGAGAGGTGCCCATACCACTTAGCCCGGCTCCCACCACGAGCACATCACACGAACTCGCCTCCATGGCCATGATGATTGCAGCTCTGGAACCGGGATGGGCACGAAGACACACGGGCACACACGGGCAGTCGGAAGGATACACGGGGAGGAGTCAGCATTCATGTCACAATCCCAGGTCCACCCACCAGAGGCAAAGGTCGCTGATGGTGGGATTGAGACAACCTACAAGAGATTCTAAACTTTTTTTTTACCAGATGAGGCCCACTAAGCTATAGACATTTTTTTTCAAAAGCGACTTGGCCACAAATGATAGCTCAACAAAGTGGCTTATCACGTGGAAATTTATAGCAGCTGCAGCCGGTGTGAGCTTACCTGTGATTAATCACACATATAATTGTGCACTCTGCTATGTGTTGCTGTAAATGCTACGGAGAGCCAGGTGCGTTTTTTCATTATAATTGAAGGCAATTATGGTCCCAGGTCTCCAAGCTTCACATGCACAGCAGGCCATGCCCAGCAGTGTGTAGACTATGCAGAGTACGGGGCACAAACCGAATTCAGATTTGGGTGGACTCCGTGCTGGTGAGATACACTATATTAGCTCCAATAAAATATCACTTAAATTAAAATTATTTGAATGTTAATCGACTGACAGGGACTCGGTAATGTTAATTGACTCTTCTGTTATTGGTGTGTAATGAAGATATTCACAATTAAGACTGATATTAAAATTGATTTTAATATATAAAATACACACCTGTTAAACCCTTATCAGTGCCTACCTTATTACAGACCAATTCACACATTATTGGTCACCCAGTGACCTTATAAATCTCAACGTTAATCCTACACTGTCCCATCATAAGGGATAAACACAAATGAGACAACTCCCGTAGAAGGGAAGTAATAAAATAATAAAAATAAAACATAATAAAATAATTCTCACGACGTTTCGGCCACAACGCAAGCAGCCGTCCTCAGGTAAAGAACATGTCTGTCGATAAGACAGAGTCTAAATGACACGTCTTAGCCTTGGAGTGTCTATTTAAGCTGTGAGGGAGGAGGAAGAGAGCCTTGACAAAATAATTTGCATTTGAAGAGGAATTTAGCATATTTATGGGAAATGCAGGAATGCGAATAGTGCTAATTGTGAAATGCGTGGGAGGTGGGCGGGGGGTTTTCAAAGTCATATTATGTCCATGCATTATGCAGGATTAGCAGCATCAAAGGGAGGGGGCAGGGGCAGCAGATGGAGGAGGAAAGCGGAGCGGGGACGAGCGGGGTTCCAGCCGTGCAGGACGTGGCCGCCTCGGTGGGCCCATCCGCGCCACTGGACGCTGACGACGGATGGCGACAGGTGGCGGCGCAACTAGAGGCGCTGAAGACGGTACTGGCGCAAATGTGCGTCCTCGTCACGCCGGCGACGACTTCGGGGAGGCCCGGCGAGGAACAACCGGCCGGGGCCTTGCCATCGCCGTCAGCCCTCCCGACCACGCGGCACGAAGACGCCATCTTGGGCGTGGAGATTCTACGAACCCAATAAAGGACAACGGAGATCGACATCTGAGAGAGAGTCCTTTATTACATATGTAACGGGGTGTAGCAAGCCATTATGTTGCGGTGTCTACATCACGGTCCGTGCGTGAGGTGTCTACATCAATGTCCACATACAGCCCCGCCCCTCGGGGGGCAGTTGGGTATAAGGTGGTGCGCAAGAGAGCTCGAGGCAGTCGTTGGAGCAGAAGAGCCAGTGAAGACTGAAGACCAGCTAGCTAGCCCTGGGACTACCCTGACTCGCTGCTCTTGTAAGAGCCGAGCAGGGCAAGCCAGGGGCGACCTCAGAGCAGCGAGGTCTGTGTCCTTGTGAGGGCCAGGCTCGTGTGGCTGAGGGTTGGACCTGAGCCGAAGCTGGGCCAGGTGAGTTAGCCTCTATAGGATGGTCTAGATTAGAGGAGTGCAGGAGCTAACGGGGAAACGTTAGCCGAGGGACACTGCCTCGGATAGACCGGGTGAAGGGGCCGTTACCCCTTCCAGTGTTAGGGTGCGCTACGTACTGTATAGTACCCATTTGTTACTAATACGTGTTGCCTCCGTCAAACGTCTCCTGCGCTACTTACGCCGTTACACAAGAATACGGGTAAACCATATGGGTTTACAGGTGTAATGAGCTACTTCCACGACACGTCGTATAGAGGGTACTTCTTTATTACTCACACTGGGCACAACACAGGCCAACACTTGTTCTTCCTCACATTGAGTAGAACTCTAGGTAATAACACCTCCACTGGCTACACACGCAGCCAATCACTCGGCATGGTCCCCTCGCATCACTCGGCCACGCCGCTGGCTGGCGGCGTGACGATGACGGCAATAGAAACCACGCAGGAGATCCTCCATGTGGCCGGACGACGCAGAGAGATGTCAGTGAATAGCGACACAGCCAGGACCCCACACACGAGCCCCGAGCTCCGGATCCGTTCCACCTTATATCCTCCCAGGCGTGGCTAGGTCCCGCCTCCGCCCACGCCCTCTCGTGGAACGAGCAGGTTCCTGGAGTATCTCGGCTAAGCCCACCTGTTACCTTTGCCCCAGATACACCTCCTTCCCCGATTGGTTGTTACTTATGTGTCCGTACCCGTGAATCCCTTCACAGTCCATCAGGTGTCACCCTGTCATTCCATCACCCCCCCCCCCTCATTAACACCAACGAAATTTCAGGTGAGGAATACCCTTGAACAATGTAAAAGTACAGCAATAAAGGAGTGAACCAAGCAACGACTCCGGGTTTTCTTAAGTAAAGCGGAACAATCCGCCGGAACAATCAAGAAGCACATAACAAGGCAAGGGATGACGAAAAAATTGCGAGAGGGAACGAGATGGGGGGGAAGAGAAAGAAAAAGCACAACTCAAGCAACCAATCACAATCCCCCCTTCCCTTAAACAACACACAGGGACATTCACATTAACGGAATCTTAAACATTTAGACCAAGTTCGCGACGCCAGTCCGTCAACGGGGATGGTCTTCATCTTCTGCACAGGGTGTATGCACACAGCCGGAACCCCCGGAGAAGTAGGTGGCAACACTGGCTTCACAGGTGCTGCAGGCTCAGCGGCAGCAGGCAACTTCTCCCGTTCGGTGAGGCTTTTAAGTCCATCCACTGTCATGGGCTTGGACGCTGTGGACGGCACGATACAATCCTTGTCACGTATGCCCTCTGCCCGCACTACCCCCGGCTTGTCGGACGCAACAGACACTGGCCATCTACTTTTTGGAGATAAAGAGTCAGCTCGAGGAGGAACAAACGGTTTCAACCGAGATAGATGGACAAACCAACGGTGACAGCCCGTACATGCACACACTGCGGCCGTTTGACCTCGATCACTTCCACAGGACCCTGCCAAGGCTTATGAAGCTTAGGGGACGTACCCACTGGCACCTGTGGGCAATGCAACCATGCCCTGTCACCTATGGACCATGACAGTACGTGATCCTGGTTCCCCGCAATTCGCTCATTAGCTGCCTGTGCTCTGGCGGCGTTCACTTTGGCTGCTTTCTGAGCCGCCGAAATGTGTTCCAACGTAATTCGCACGTGCACAGGCAATTTGGATTTCCCCTTTTCCTGCGACGAACCCAATTAAGCATCCATAAGAGGTACATTTTCCCTCCCATACATGAGAAAAAACGGCGAGAATCCCGTGGAAGCATGGGGGGCCATCCTATACGCAGATAATACACTTGGAACATGCAAATCCTAATCCATTTTGCGTCACGTCAACCGCCTGACAGAGCATGGATGTCAGAGTCCTATGCAGCCGCTCCACCATCCCATCCGTCTGGGGATGGTATGGCGACGTTTTAATTTTCTTAGTGCCCAAAGCATCCTAGACCTCACGCAGCAGCTTCGACGAGAAATTCCGCCCCTGGTCAGTGAGCAACTGCTCAGGGGCCCCCTTGTCCATTACGTATTCATACAAAAACGCCTCAGCAATCGAAGCCACCGACTGGTCAGGCAGTGGCCAAGCCATAGGCCATCGTGAGAAATACTCAACCCCCACCAAGAGAAATCTATGCCTTCTTTGAGTGGCCGGGAAGGGCTCAAGGATATCGAGCGCTACCAACTCGTTAATCCGTGAAACCGAAATGGATTGCAGCGGAGGCTGGGACTTCTTCAGCGGCAGTTTCCTACGCGCACACTCCGTACACCCTTGGACCAAGTGGTACACATCACTTGACATACCCGGCCAATAATAATCATGCTGCAGCATTATCAAGGTATTCCGGACCCCGAGATGCAACAATTTATCCTCGTGCACCACTTGAAACAATTTACCTCGAAGGGCAGTGGGGACGACAACATGACAACGGTATAACATATCTTCCCTCAACATCAGCAGGTCATCCTGAAGGACCATTCGCGGCCCGTCAGCAGAAGCCTTTTGTTCCAACTCCGCACCACGCCGCAAGGCCATCAAGGAATTATCATCCAATTGCTCTCGAACCCATTCAGAACGCATAAGGTGCAAAACGCTATCCGCAGGTGCAAACAAATTGGCGGACTCAGCGTCCTCGAACGCCGCCATAACAGTAGCTGAACTCGCCATCGGAGGTTTACAACGGTCCGCACAAGAAGAAACATGCACAGCGAGACGATTGAGGCAACCAGGATAACGCGTCAACATTGCAATGCCAAGCCCCTTTTCGATATATCACACGGAATGAGTATTGCTGCAAAATTTTAAGCCAATGCGAAAGTTGGCCAGAAGGTTGATCAACCTTCAAGGAGTACTGATCCGTGCAGACAATGAATTCTCTGCCATAGAGGTAAGGCCTGTATTGTTGTACGAAATAAACCATGGTCAACAGCTCCCTGCGAGTAACACAATAACGCCGTTTTGCGGGGGACAGGATGGCGCCCATGCCCGTATCGCTAACGTCTGTGTCAAAAATAAATGGCAGAGAGAAATCAGGGTACTCGAGTGTGGGTGAATCGGACAACCGCTCACAAAGGGCTAAAAGTGCAGACTCTTCTTCCACTCCCCACTGGATCCTCTGGTTTTTAGCCGTCAAGGCGTGTAAGGGCT